GTCAGCCCTTACAGTTCCCCGGGAGATCAGCAGGTGGCAGCAGCGTATAACGAGGGATTGTTGGTCTCGTGGCGAATGCAGCTGATAGGGGATAATGTGAATAACGATTAACTAAGCAGAAGTGAATTGATTCAGCACCATTGGTTCGACAACAAGCGAAACCTCCCTGTCTGTTTGCGACATTCACTGACTCATCAACAGCAGAGGCAGGTCTGCTTGAACCATTGGTTCAACGCAAGCGAAACCCCCCTGTCTGGTTGCGACATTCACTGACTCATCAGCAGCAGACAAGCTTGCACCGAATCGTCGACTTCACCTCTTCCGATGCAGGTAGCAGCATTGCTCATCATGTCTCGTGGCCAAATTGTCTCCGATGCTCCATGGCTCAGCCCGAGCCGCCGTCGCCTGCCCGAGCCCCGTGGCTCTGAGTCTCATCCCGAGCTATTGTGACCCTTTGACCTGTAAGTGTTGCCCTTTGTTCGCCTTTTGGCGTTGTCCTCCGGTCTGCTAACACTCGTGGTGGCGGTGGTGGCGGTGGTGGGACAATGCCACACAGGAGGCTGTTCTAGCTCTGGTTTCGGCCAATCGGTTTCAAGGACAATGAGTAACGGTGTCATCAAAAAGCGCGTTTGCTCGTGTGTGTGTGTCCTGTACGGCGTGGGGAGCGGTGGTGTAGTGGTTAGCGCTACGCTGCGCTCACGGCCAACACCGGTGACGATTATCTGAACCGGTCTTGGGCCTCCCCTAGGTCGACTCAGCCTCAAATTAGTACCTGGTGCGATGTGTAAACATCGCCGCGAGGCAGATTTGGTGTTCGCACATCTTTAAGACATCTCGCGTGGTCTTGGTGGTGAGGGTGACGCCTATTGTGATTGTCACCATATTGTAGTCTTGGTGGTGAGGGTGACGCCTATTGTGATTGTCACCATATTGTAGTCTTGTTGGTGAGGGTGACGCCTATTGCTATTGTCACCATATTGTAGTCTTGGTGGTGAGGGTGACGCCTATTGTGATTGTCACCATATTGTAGTCTTGGTGGTGAGGATGACGCCTATTGTGATTGTCACCATATTGTAGTCTTGGTGGTGAGGGTGACGCCTATTGTGATTGTCACCATATTGTAGTCTTGGTGGTGAGGATGACGCCTATTGTGATTGTCACCATATTGTAGTCTTGGTGGTGAGGGTGACGCCTATTGTGATTGTCACCATATTGTAGTCTTGGTGGTGAGGGTGACGCCTATTGTGATTGTCACCATATTGTAGTCTTGGTGGTGAGGGTGACGCCTATTGTGATTGTCACCATATTGTAGTCTTGGTGGTGAGGGTGACGCCTATTGTTATTGTCACCATATTGTAGTCTTGGTGGTGAGGGTGACGCCTATTGTGATTGTCACCATATTGTAGTCTTGGTGGTGAGGGTGACGCCTATTGTGATTGTCACCATATTGTAGTCTTGGTGGTGAGGGTGACGCCTATTGTTATTGTCACCATATTGTGACCAACGCGGCCATCCAGCGGTTATAGTGACAGGTGGGGGGAAAGGGACTGTAAATCAGTGTCTGTAATTACTCTTTGGTTCTATTCGGTAAAGTCACGTAGGTAAAAATAAAATAACAAAAAATCACGACGTTTCGGCCACAACACAAGTGGCCTTCATCAGGTGAAGGGACTGGACTGTCCAGAGGACAGCGTTGGAGTGAAGACAGCAAGCCCAGGTCGCGACCTTTAAGCTGTGTGGGAGGAAACAAAAAAACGCCTTGACACAGGAATTAGCATAACAATGATGTACTGGATCGGCATGGTGGGGGGGGGGAGTTTACATAATGTTGGTGTGAAGGGAAATAAGCTGCTGTGAAAGTTTGGAATACCACTACTTGAATAAATATACTGTACCATTGAAAATTAGTTTAATGTTTGGTTTGATTTAGAACATCTTTCCAATGATTGCTTAATTTGAAACCATCCTCTCGGTTGAAATTTTGTCTGTGTTTGTAAATCTGAATTGCCTCGTGGACAAATCTCTGATAAAAAAAACCCGTGGGTTTGCAGAGAACCTTGGTATCGGAGAAAACTATATCGTGATCACCCACAGCGTTGTAACAGTGTGATCAGCTACGGCAGAAGAATTCGTTCTGCCGTGTTTCAAATCTGATTTGTGCTCGCGAATTCGGTCAGAGACATGTCGTTTCGTCTCCCTGATATAGCAGTCACCACCGGTGCAGCTCAGTTTGTAAATCCCGGGGTACTGTAAGTCAGGAACGACTGGGCTTGCTGTCTTCACTCCAACGCTGTCCTCTGGACAGTCCAGTCCCTTCACCTGATGAAGGTCACTTGTGTTGTGGCCGAAACGTCGTGATTTTTTGTTATTTTAGTTTTACCTACGTGACTTTACCGAATAGAACCAAAGAGTATGGATCCTTGCAGTCACGAAAGCTTCAAATCTAGAAGTGTCTGTAATTGTCTGAGTCACCTGTGCAGGTGTGCGTGTGAGTGTTTGTGATGGTACCGGTTCTGTGAGAGGATGGGTCAGGTCCCCTGTGTTTGACAGACGGGCGTGATGATTACAATGCGCGGAATGCATGTTACACAACATCGTACATACGTATACACACACATTCTCATACGGACAAACACACACAAAAACAAATATCCCTGTGTAGCCTCAACAGACTGTTGGGGCAAGTGCTGGTAGCCACCGCTAATGGAACGGCACGCGATGGGGGAGGGTGGGTGGCCAGCACCACGCGCCCGGCCGCCTTTGTCTCCCCAGTGGCGATGCTTACTACACACCGCACCAGGTACTCAATTGAGGCTGAGTCGACCTAGGGGATGCCCAGAACCGGTTCAGATAATCGTCACCGGTGTTGGCGGCCGTGAGCGGTGAATCGAACTCGGGTTGGCCAGGAGGGGGCTTCGTAGCGCAGCGTCGCGCCCTAACCACTGCGCCACCACTCCCCCAACTCCATACGAATCCTCACACACGTGCGTGTGTGTGGTATGTGGTGTGTGTGTGGTATGTGGTGTGTGTGTGTGCTGTCCACACTGACTTAGTTACGAACAGCCACACGCACCAACAGCCTCGCACTGATACAAACCACCGCAACCTCCGTGGCATCTCGTCGCGGCGCTTGTGCAAGGCCACGTGCACTTGGAGGCCACGTGGGAGTGTCGAAGGCTGGCAGGAGAGGTCACGGGACAGACCCGGCACGTGCTGTGGGTTGGGTGCTGTGCCAGGCTAGGTGCAGGAGGTCACGGGACAGACCCGGCACGTGCTGTGGGTTGGGTGCTGTGCCAGGCTAGGTGCCAGAGGAGGTCACGGGACAGACCCGGCACGTGCTGTGGGTTGGGTGCTGTGCCAGGCTAGGTGCAGGAGGTCACGGGACAGACCCGGCACGTGCTGTGGGTTGGGTGCTGTGCCAGGCTAGGTGCCAGAGGAGGTCACGGGACAGACCCGGCACGTGCTGTGGGTTGGGTGCTGTGCCAGGCTAGGTGCAGGAGGTCACGGGACAGACCCGGCACGTGCTATTGGTTGGGTGCTGTGCCAGGCTAGGTGCCAGAGGAGGTCACGGGACAGACCCGGCACGTGCTATGGGTTGGGTGCTGTGCCAGGCTAGGTGCAGGAGGTCACGGGACAGACCCGGCACGTGCTGTGGGTTGGGTGCTGTGCCAGGCTAGGTGCAGGAGGTCACGGGACAGACCCGGCACGTGCTGTGGGTTGGGTGCTGTGCCAGGCTAGGTGCAGGAGGTCACGGAACAGACCCAGCAGGTGCCATGGGTTGGGTGCTGTGCCAGGCTAGGTGCAGGAGGAAGTCACGGGACAGACCCGGCACGTGCTGTGGGTTGACTGCTGTGCCAGGCTAGGTGCAGGAGGTTACGGGACAGACCCGGCACGTGCTGTGGGTTGGGTGCTGTGCCAGGCTAGGTGCAGGAGGTCACGGGACAGACCCGCACGTGCTATGGGTTGGGTGCTGTGCCAGGCTAGGTGCAGGAGGAAGTCACGGGACAGACCCGGCACGTGCTGTGGGTTGACTGCTGTGCCAGGCTAGGTGCAGGAGGAAGTCACGGGACAGACCCGGCAGGTGCTATGGGTTGGGTGCTGTGCCAGGCTAGGTGCAGGAGGTCACGGGACAGACCCAGCACGTGCTATGGGTTGGGTGCTGTGCCAGGCTAGGTGCAGGAGGTCACGGGACCCGGCAGGTGCTATGGGTTGGGTGCTGTGCCAGGCTAGGTGCAGGAGGTCACGGGACCCGGCAGGTGCTATGGGTTGACTGGACGATACTCCCATCACACACACGCATCTACTCCCGTCACACACATCTACTCCCGCCACACACACACACATCTACTCCCATCACACACACACAGATACTCCCATCACACACACACACACGCATCTACTCCCATCACACACACACACGCATCTACTCCCATCACACACACACACACGCATCTACTCCCATCACACACACATCTACTCCCATCACACACACACACACGCATCTACTCCCATCACACACACACACATCTACTCCCATCACACACACACACACGCATCTACTCCCATCACACACACACGCATCTACTCCCATCACACACACACACGCATCTACTCCCATCACACACACACGCATCTACTCCCATCACACACACACACGCATCTACTCCCATCACACACACACACGCATCTACTCCCATCACACACACACGCATCTACTCCCATCACACACACACACGCATCTACTCCCATCACACACACACACGCATCTACTCCCATCACACACACACACGCATCTACTCCCATCACATACACACAATCTACTCCCATCACACACACACATCTACTCCCATCACACACACATCTACTCCTATCACACACACACGCATCTACTCCCATCACACACACACATCTACTCCCATCACATACACACAATCTACTCCCATCACACACACACATCTACTCCCATCACACACACATCTACTCCCACGGTGACCACGTGAGCGAGCCCGCCTGTGGGGTGGGTGGGGCGCGCGCGCGCGCGCGTCAACCTGCAGCCGCAACTTCGCAACTCCCTCGCATTGACACAGAGAGAGAGACACAGCCAAGCTGCTACTGCTAACCACGACTAACTACGACTAACTACCGAGTACTAAACTACCGTGGTCTCTCCTCACATCAGCGAGTCAGGCGCAGGTCCACGGGGCGTGGGAAACTTCCCAGATCCGAGATTTTCCTACCGTGTTGACTATTAAAGCCGCCGCCACCACCACCATTGTCAACAACAACACCATCAAAGGCAAGCTAGCGATCAACATCACCATCCACCTTCATAGCGTCACCCAATTCCGATCAACATCATCGCCACCGATATTTACCATACATTAATAATCATCATCACCCATCAATCGGCCTCATCACCCATCAATCAGCATCATCATCATCGTCGTCATCATCAGCATCATCGTCGCTGATCTTCCGTGTCGAGGAGGCCGCTTCTTGCCGCTGAACGAAGGAGCTTCACCGATCCCGAAGGCGTCTCGCCATGGGTCTCGCCGCCTGCTTGAAGTGCATGAAGTGTGTCCTCGTCGTCTTCAACTTCATCTTCTGGGTGAGGAGGAGGAGGAGACGACTTACGTACAGTACACGCGCACTGTACGACGCACGCGCACTGTAGAACGCACACCACGTACAGTGCACGCGCACCTGTAGCTACCGCTACGCTGTGCTGTTATGAATGATGCGGTGTGTGTTGTGTAGTGTGTGTAGTGTGTGTGTGGTGTGGGGGTGGTGTGTGGGGATGGTGTGTGTGGTGTGGTGTGGGTGGTGTGTGTGGTGTGGTGTGGGTGGTGTGTGTGGTGTGGGGTGGTGTTTGTGGGGTGTGGTGTGGTGTGGGGGTGGTGTGTGTGGGTGGTGTGTGGTGTGGGGGTGGTGTGTGTGTGGTGTGTGTGGGTGGTGTGTGTGGTATGTTGGTGTGTGTGTGGTGTGGTGTGTGTGGGTGGTGTGTGTGGTATGTTGGTGTGTGTGGTATGTGTGTGTGTGGTGTATGTATGTGGTGTGTGTGTGGGGTGGTGTGTGTGGTATGTTGGTGTGTGTGTGGTATGTGTGGTGTGGGTGGGGTGGTGTGTGTGGAATGTGTGTGGTGTGTGTGGTGTTTGTGTGTGTGGTGTGTGTGGTATGTTGGTGTGTGTGGTATGTGTGTGGTGTGTATGTGGTGTGTGTGTGGTATGTGTGTGGTATGTGGTGTGTGTGTGGTATGTGGTGTGGTGTGTGTGTAGTGTGTGGTGTGTGTGTGTGGTGTGTGTGTGTGTTGTGTGTGCGTGGTGTGTGCGTGGTGTGTGTGTGGTGTGTGTGTGGTATGTGTGTGTGTGGTATGTGGTGTGTGTGTGGTATGTGTGTGTGTGGTATGTGGTGTGTGTGTGTGGTATGTGGTGTGTGTGTGTGTGGTGTATGTGGGTGGTGTATGTGGGGTGTGTGGTGTGTGTGATGTGTGTGGTATGCGTGTGTGTGGTGTATGTGTGTGTGTGGTGTGCGCGTGATGAGTGTGGGGCACTTGCCCCATCGTCACGTTGACGGCTGTGTGGGGAAGTCGTTAAGCAGCTCTGTGCGCGATTCATCCTGCTCTGTCTTTGGCTTTAAACAAGAACAACAACACCTCAGTGTTACCCGTAGAGGTTATAACACGAGTTACCTCCTAGCGTCACGTGTCTCTGTGTGCCTGTGTGTGTGTCTGTCTGTGTGTGTGTCTGTGTGTGTCTGTGTGTGTGTCCATGTTAGTATTTGTGTGTGAGCCAGTGTGTATGTATGTTAGAGTGTGAATGAGAGTGTGTGAATGAGTGTGGTAGTGTGTGGTAGTGTGAATGAGTGTGGTAGTGTGTGGTAGTGTGAATGAGTGTGTGTGTGTGGTAGTGTGAATGAGTGCGTGTGTGGTAGTGTGAATGAGTGTGTGTGTGTGAATGAATGTGTGTGTGAATAAGAGTGTGTGTGTGTTAGTGTGAATGAATGAGTGTGTGTGTGTGGTAGTGTGAATGAATGTGAATGAGTGTGTGTGGTAGTGGGAATGAATGTGAGTGAGTGTATGTGGTAGTGTTAATGAGTGTGTGTGTGTGGTAGTGTGAATGAATGTGAGTGTGAATGAGTGTGTGTGTGTGGTAGTGTGAATGAGTGTGTGTGTGTGGTGTGAATGAGTGTGTGTGGTAGTGTGAATGAGTGTGTGTGTGGTAGTGTGAATGAATGTGAATGAGTCTGTGTGGTGGTGTGAATGAATGTGAATGAGTGTGTGTATGGTAGTGTGTGTGTGTGGTAGTGTGAATGAATGTGTGTGTGTGTGTGGTAGTGTGAATGAATGTGTGTGAGTGTGGTAGTGTGAATGAATGTGTGTGAATGAGTGTGTATGGTAGTGTGAGTGTGGTAGTGTGAATGAATGTGAGTGTGAATGAATGTGTGTGTGGTAGTGTGAATGTGTGTGTGTGTGGTAGTGTGTGTTTGTGGTTGTGTGGGGAGCGATAGTGTAGCGGTTAGCGCGCTGCGCTATGAACCTGGCGACCCGGGTTCGATTCCCGCTCACGGCCAACACCAGTGACGATTATCTGAACCGGTCCCGGGCCTCCCCTAGGTCGACTCAGCCTCAAAATGAGTACCTGGTGCGGTGTGTAAACATTGCCACTAGGGAGACAAAGGCGGTCGGGCGTGGTGCTGGCCACCCACCCCCTCGTGTACCGTTCCGGCCTTCATAGGTGCTCGCTAACAGCACTTGCCCCTACAGTCTGTTAAGGCTATATGGGGGATCTTTGTCTTTGTGTGGTTGTGTGAATGTGTGTGTGGTTGTGTGAATGTGACATTTCCCTTTCCGGAGGAAGGCTTTATTTCAGTAGCTTCGCTTTTGCACAAGCACAGCTATGGACCAGTTTCGACACTCAGGGTCTCATCAGCAGCAGAGGTAGGCTCACTTCAGCCAATGCTGGTGAACTGCCAAGATGTTTATCGGCAAGAGGCCCGCCCGCTCGCAACTGTAGGGGTTTTGCGATGCTTTGATTCCACTGATAAACATCGGACGTCGATCACTCTGGTCGCACACCGATTCGTGTGCTGTATATTCGCACCCGACACACCGCATCCGGAATGCCTCCCCCGACTATGATTCTGTGGGAAGATCCATCGATGACACGTGGATCTCCATTCCCGAGTTCCTGCATCAAATCGCTGACTCTGCTGCTGATACCTTATGCTGATGTCCCTAATGTTGCTGCTGATGATAATTATGATATTGCTGCTCATGATGATGCACAGCTATCAACCCACGTGGTTTACCCCGTATTCTTGTACAGGGAAATTTCGCTTTTAGGTCCAAACAGCATACAGCCATTTCAATACGGGCAAAACAAAGTGTCGTGTCTATTTGTGTGCGTCTCTCCCTTATGATGGGACTTTGTAGGATGAACGTTGAGATTTATAAGGGGCACGGGGTGACCAATAAGGTCTGACTTGGTCTGTAATAAGGTAGGGGCACTGATAAGGGGTTGACAGGTGTCATGATTCTTCTGCTGCTGATGATGCTGCTGCTGCTCATCATGACAAGTATGACGCTGCTGCTCATGACGATGAAGCTACTTATGATGCTCATGATGATGCGCATGATGATGTTTGTGTACAGCTTGTGGGGTGCGCTCTGCTGTCCATCTCACTGTGGCTGAGATTCGATCAGAACACCAAGGACATATTTGACAACCCCAACGCGCCAACCACCTACTATATTGGTAAGTTTAACTGCACCGGAATGAGTTAAATGATGATGTCACCCTGCTGCTCTATTTAAGACCGGGAGCAAGCGAGGGCTTTACCATTCTGGCCAATTGCCCGATGATGCTGGATGTAATTACCAGCGAAACGTCGTACTCAAACTGTAAATGTTGTGGATTCACTCTTCAACACACTGGTGGGCTAAGGTAGTGAACTATTTGTCTTTTGTCAACGTGACACTTTTTTGCTGATTGGCCATGTCGGGTGGTGGAGGGTTACGACACATTTATAAATAACGCGATCTAACCCAAAAACCTTTATTATGAATGTTGGTAAGTGGTTGGTGTAACTCACCCGCGCCTCACTCACCCACTCAACCCGCACCACGGTCAATTCGCTCGCGCGCACACTCACCCGTACCGCTGACTCGCTCATCTACCTGCTCACTCACTCGCCCACACAAAGATAAAGATCCCCCGTGTAGCCTTAACCGACTGTAGGGACAAGTGCTGTTAGTGAGCACCTATGAAGGCCGGAACGGTACACGAGGGGGTGGGTTACATTTCATAGTTCCTAGTTCCATTTATTTGGTATAGCCCTGTGAGCCATTCGGCTCTTGAATCGGGTGCAACCGCAACAAACAAAAAAACTAAAACATGAACAAGAAAACATCTTAAAGTGACTTTGTGTGACTGTGCAAACAGAAAATCCAGGACAAAAACATCAAAATATTCCTGAAATAGCACCGTACACCAACGCTGTGTGCAAAAATCCCAGTGGGATGCAAGTCAAACAACAACAACCACAAGACAACTAAGATTAAGGCCATCAGTCTAACTCCGTACTATAATAAACAAAAACATGGCCAAACTAAAAAAAAGTTTTCGAAATCACCAAAATAAAAGCCATAAATGCAATGTAACAGTGATCATAGGGACTGTGACCGATTTTTAACAATAAACTATATAAATAACATGTAACACCAAACCATAGAGCCATAGCTGGCTGCATGAGTCACTCCACAACAACAGGAGCATCAATCGGAGTATCACATTTCTCAATGCACCTTTAAGATCAGCACACTAAATTAAAATACAGTTAATACTTTGCAGCAGTCATCCGGAGCGAAACATTTTATTTTATTTTAGGCCACTGAATAGCAGTGGCAGCTAGGGGTGTACAACTCCTCTAGAGCAGTTTTGAGTGAAGATCTCATTGGTAGTGATTCAAGTTGCAGTTTATTGGCAATAGCATTCCAGACCCTGGGGGCATCAATAGGGTGGCCAGCACCACGCCCGACCGCATTTTTCTCCCCAGTGGCGATGTTTACACACCGCACCAGGTACTCATTTGAGGCCGAGTCGACCTAGGGGAGGCCCAGGACCGGTTCAGATAATCGTCACTGGTGTTGGCCGTGAGCGGGAATCGAACCCGGGTCTCCGAGTTCATAGCGCAGCGCACTAACCGCTCCACTACCGCTCCTCATCCACACGCTCACCCACACACTCACTCTCCCACGCACCCACCCACCCAATCTCTCACCGACCAACCGACTCATTCATTTACCCACTCATTGACTCACTCTCCCACTCGTCATATTTGTGTCGTGTTTCCATCATGCCATGTGTCCGTGTGGCATCGGTTCCCTCCGCGCGCGGTGGGGTAAGGTGTGGGTAGAGTGACGTGTGTGTGTGTGTGTGGTTCTGTCTGTGTGGGGTTAGGTGTGGGTAGAGTGAAGTGTGTGTGTGTGGTTCTGTCTGTGTGTGGGGTTCTGTCTGTGTGGGGTAAGGTGTGGGTAGAGTGACGTGTGTGTGTGTGGGGTTCTGTCTGTGTGGGGTAAGGTGTGGGTAGAGTGAAGTGTGTGTGTGTGGTTCTGTCTGTGTGTGGGGTTCTGTCTGTGTGGGGTAAGGTGTGGGTAGAGTGACGTGTGTGTGTGTGGGGTTCTGTCTGTGTGGGGTAAGGTGTGGGTAGAGTGACGTGTGTGTGTGTGGGGTTCTGTCTGTGTGGAGTAAGGTGTGGGTAGAGTGACGTGTGTGTGTGGGGTTCTGTCTGTGTGGGGTAAGGTATGAGTAGAGTGAAGTGTGTGTGTGTGGTTCTGTCTGTGTGGGGTAAGGTGTGGGTAGAGTGAAGTGTGTGTGTGTGTGGGGTTCTGTCTGTGTGGGGTAAAGTGTGAGTAAAGTGACGTGTGTGTGTGTGTGGTTCTGTCTGTGTGGGGTAAGGTGTGAGTAGAGTGACGTGTGTGTGTGTGTGTGGTTCTGTCTGTGTGGGGTAAGGTGTGGGTAGTGTGACGTGTGTGTGTGTGGTTCTGTCTGTGTGGGGCCTCGTGGTTTAGTGACTCACTTCCACCACGGAGCGCTCCCCCCCCACGCTCCCCCCCCCACGCTCTCCCCCCCCCACGCTCCCCCCCCCACGCTCTCCCCCCCCCCACGCTCTCCCCCCCCCATGCTCCCCCCCCCACACTGCGTTATCACCACCGCCACGCGTTTCCCCCCTCGCGCAATCAGCGTTAGTTTTGGGGGGTTTGATTAATGACGATCCTCCTCCTTCCCTTGCCCGACGTCGTTACCAAAAATGAAGTTGTAATTTTAAACACATCCCATCAGCCGCGCACGGGAAACTTCCTTGTGGAAGAGCGTCGTTTCAGAAGAAGATGCAGCAGGCTCGCTTGATCCATTGGTTAAACGGTAGCAGAATTGCTGGACCGGTATCGGCATTCAGTGTGTCATCGGCGGCGCTTCGGTGCGTTGCGAGAAAAACCGCCGCCGGCAAGCCGCCCAGCCCGTTATTTTCCCCGAGAAGGAGGAGGTCTGTGGAGATGAATGGGCGCGGCGTTGCCGATGAGATCCGCCCGCGATTAAACCGCGGCGCGTCGTGCGGTGTGGTGCCACCCGCCCCGCTCAGCTCGCGCGTGACCCACGGTGGTGGCGGCGGTGGCGGCGGTGGTGGCGGTGGTGGCGGTGGCGGTGGTGGCGGCGGTGGTGGCGGCGGTGGCGCCAGTCCACGATCGGTCGAATTCGAGATAATTGCGCCGCGAACGGCTCGTTTTGGAGAGGCAAAGAAAAAAAACACGCGGCTGACTCGGCGGAATCGGTAGCGGCGGCGGGATATAAATCCCAACGCTGGGAAAGTTAAAACCTATTAAACAAAAAACTATGCAAAACAATATTTTAACAGTCCCACTGAGCTGTATAACTCTTTTTCAGAAGCGACCTGGCAATTCACAAATGATAACTCAATGAAGTGGCTTATCGTCATCATCATTATCATCGTGTGGAAATTTATAGCAGCGCCCAAATACTCTTAAACGCGTGGTGATGCCCATTCTAAATTGGGAGGGAAAAACCCGAAGGACACGGAGAAAAATCCACGCGACCAAACTCCAAATATACAGCGGGCGTTGGCGTCGGGATAGAACCCACAACCTCCTGCGTGCCAAGCGAGGCGGTCAACATCTCGCAAACCGCGACGCCGGTTACCCCAGCAGATGGCTCAGTTGAGATCGTGCGGCAACAGCGGCGGTAGCAGCAGCAGCAGCGAGAACCTGGCAGGACCCTCCTGAAAGGGACGCGAGCCTTGAGACTCGGTGAGGCCTTCTTCCCTGGCTAAACTGGCGGAGGAAAATGAAGAAGGCAAACAACTTTCAGGGTGGGCAGCGCTGCGGTAACACTAGCGCCTCGAAAGAGCAGGAAGCATCTGGGTTGGATTCCTGACTCGGGTGCCTCTCTGTGTGGAGTTTGCGTTTAGTCTCTCTCCTGATCATCAGAGAGTCACGTGGCTCTGAATTTTGAAGGAAGATCAATCTTCATCTTCTTTGGTACGGCCGATGTAGACGCAGAGCCACATTCGGGTGGGTCAAGCCTAGATAACCGCGTCAGGGACAGCGGAGTTAGTGTATCATCATCATTATCATCATCATTATCATCGCCGTGATGATGTCTCCTTCGTATTTGTGGATTATGGGGCATTGTGCTGTCACACGTTGTGCTATGGTCTGGAGAGGTTTTAACTTTCCACTTGTGCATCATCGGGCATCATCAGACATTGTCCGCATCTGTTGCCATGATTTGTGCAGTGGACGCGATTCGATGAAATTTCATGACGCGCGTTCATTGTGAACAGTTAATTGCCGTGAGTCGCTGGGGAGCCGCGAGCGAGCCCGGACTGTGTGAGGAGCGGTGGTGCAGCGGTTGGCGCACTGCGCTACGAACCCGGCAACACGACTTCGATTCCCGCCCACGACCAACGCCGCTGGCGGTTATCTGAACCGGTCACGGGCCTCCGCTGCTCGAGTGACTCGGCCTTAAATGAGTGCCTGGGGTGCTGCGCGTAAACTTCGCCACGGGGGGAGACAAAGGCGGCCGGGGCCGTGGTGCTGGCCACACACCACCTCGTGCGCCCTGTCAGCCTTCATAGGCACGTGTCTCCTCGCTAACAACGCTTGCCCCTACCGTCTCCTGAGGCTATGCCGGGAATCTTTGCCTTCTGCTTTGCTCGCCGAGAGTTGCGCACGCGTGGAAATGTGCGCAACACGTTGTGGGCGTGAGCAGATAAATAAATAATTTATTATTCACACCCCCCCCCCTCTCCGCCGCGAAATGGAACAATCCGACACGGGCTGAACCAACGGACTACCAAGTCGGTTCGGCCCCTGTCACATATATCCACACAATCGCCCATAGATATACACAGAGATCCAAAGACCTGCATAGAGACCCATAGACTTGCACATACACCCATAGACTTACACATACACCCATAGACTTACACATACACCCATAGATGTACACAGAGATCCATAGACCTGCATAAAGACCCATAGACTTACACATACACCCATAGACTTGCACATACACCCATAGACTTACACATACACCCATAGACTTACACATACACCCATAGATGTACACAGATCCAAAGACCTGCATAGAGACCCATAGACTTGCACATACACCCATAGACTTACACATACACCCATAGACTTACACATACACCCATAGACTTACACATACACCCATAG